AAATAAATAAATAAATAAAACTTTGTTTTTTAAAAAATCTTATGTGATTTTTGTTTTGTTAATGTAAAATATGTACAATACGTATATGTAATTTCTTACTGTTCTATAGAATACAGCTTACTTTGAATAAGTCATATTTTTTTTTCATCTTTTAATAGTTTTGCTTTAATTTTTGTCTCTTATAGTGTCAAAAAAAAAAAAAAAAAACAGATGAGTACTAATTACTGTTTATTATAATGATAAATATATAACTATACCTTTTATTCGCTTATCAACCACTGTTGTTTCAGATCTCAGAACTTAAAACGTATTGTAATGAAGGTAAACTAACTCAAAGAACGCCTGTTTTAGAACGATCTATTGCAATTTTCAATGTAAATGATCTTTTATTTTCATTTTTTCCTTTCTTTTTTGATAACTTATTAATTATACATCAAAAGTTAACTGAATAGTACTGATCAAAATAGTGTTGTTGACGCTAAAAAAACGGTAACAAGTGTTGAATTTCAATAACTGCAGGTGTAACTTTAACACCAAAAAAAAAAAAACAAGAAATTCTTTGGAATAACTTCAACAACTTTTAACATTATTTTAGGTTGAAAATTTTTTTGATTTTGAAACCTCAAATAACTGGTTGACAAAAAACTGCAAAAGGAAATTATTTTGGTGCTTAATTTATTAGGAAAAGAAAAAAGTTACTTTAATGATTGTTGATGTTATTCTAGGGTTTTTCCTTCTTGTTTTTTTTTGCTATGTCTCAAGCTAAGATTGTCTATTATTTAGAGTCTGTCTAACTGGGTACAATATATGATACTTAGTAAAACAACTGCCGTTGAACGATCCCGTATTATTGCAAAATTTGTTGAAGTAGGAAAAGTTAGTTTTTTTGTCTTGACAATTGTAACTTTTCTATGTTTCATTGCAAAGCTACTGATAAAGTGCTGTAGTCTCAAAATACAGCAAATTAAGAAGTAAGTTTTATTACATTATTAATGTTTTACTGGCTTCTTTTTATTTTTGTTTTTTTTTTTGTCTTTTTATTGCAAAAAAAAATTTAACTATTAGTAATTTTAGCATTTAAGAAAATTAAACAATTTTAATACTTTAATGGCAGTCATTGGTGGTGTATCGCATAGTAATATTGCTCGATTATCAAAGACAAATTCAGCACTTCCATCACATACCAAAAAGGTATCCAGTTTTTTTCTTTTTTTTCTTCGGCCATTCAACAGATGCTTTGTTGTTATCAAACTTAACGTAAAACTTTTCTTGCAAAATTTAAGAATAACTCGTTGTTCAGTTATAAAAAAATTTTAATCAGTTTCTTTTCTTTTTAACG